GGGGAAGGATTTATTGTATGCTGTTCCAGTTTGACTGCTAGGAGAGTAAACCTATTCATATGGTTCCTATTCAACTGTCTACAGCATTCACATGCTTGAGAGCATTCATATGCTCCTACGGTTCGGTGGTTTTGGTGTCTGCTGCAGTGCTTGGAGTCCTCAGGAAGCGCTAGGAGCATCCTTTAATGGAGGTACCCAGTCGGGGTGCCAGGTCATCCGTTACAATATACATAAAAAAAAGATATTGAGCACCACATGAAAACAGGTTAACACACGTTCTAGATGAATTTCAATGTTTTATTCAGTAGTCTAATATTTCAGACAAGTGAGAGTTCCCTTTTAATCCATTCCACCATTGCTGACTCTAAAACCAATTTTCATTCTAATCAGTGCCATTAACACATACAAGCCCCTGACAAATCATAAGTTTATATTAAAACATCCAGTCAATCAAAGTCATAAGAAAACATCAAGCTGAATGTATCACATAATTAAAGAGAAAAGAGGACTATAATACGAAGAATGACAATGACATACAAACAATATTTTTGCATGATTACATAGTTGTAAAACTGTTTATCCATAAAACACAGTGCACATGATTAGATCTCATACCTTTCCTGTTTACTGTTCTGGTGGGAATCATTTAGCTCTGAAATATTACACTACAAACATATCTGTATAATGGCAAAAATAATCTCTATAGTAATTACTCTGATTTATATGTGATGTCCATATATCTGGGGACATTGTATCACCTGTGCACTTTTACTTTGGGAATTTTGAGATAAAACCAATAATTATCAATACTTTGTTCCCTCGTGGTACATTTTATATTGGATGTTTTTCACTAAAAAATAAACAAAAACAACCAACACATTTATTTGAAACATTAACTACAAAAGTAAAATGTACAAAACAGCAATAATATGTCTAAGCTATAGGTGTTCAGGAATATCTTAAATTTAAAAAATAATTTACATTTTTTATTTTTCTCATCGATTACATACATATTGGTGGTACAAAAATGTTTAGAGAATGGAGGTAAAATGCTTCCCTTAATATTAAATAAGAGTTTATGTTGGCCTTCAAAAAGCCCACTATGACGAAACGCGTGGGCGTTTGGGCATTACTTTACACTAAGACTTTACTCTGCTGGAGCCTGCTAAATTATTATTTCTGGATTTATTGAAGAGTTTCTGTTTATTATTATGAGAGCAGTTTACCGCATGTGAGAGTGGCTTTGGCCTCCAAAAGCATAGTATGGTTAATGCTCCCATGAATGGCACACGTTTTCCTAAATCCCACATCATCTTAGTTCATATCAGCTGTGCTGGATACCCAGCGGGTTGGTGCAAGTCGACGTAGGGTGAGCGGATTGTGGATTTACACATTGTTTTATTCCTCTTCTCTCTCCACATTTACTTGGAATGTATGTATGTGACTGCCTCCTTTTTCCCCATATCTACAATACTGGGTAAGATTCTGCCTGCATGGAGAGAATTGTAAGACGTCTATCCAATCCATAGGCTCTCCACTCTAGACATCCATATATTTTTATATACTGTTACTGCTTCTATATTGTTACTGCTGCTTTTTGCTCCTCTTATTTACAAACAAATTAAGAGCGGTGTGTGTATATATATATATATATATATATATATATACACACATATATTTTATTCTTTCTTTTTGTCGTGCAAATGTTTGACAGATAAGTTTGGTATGCCACAGCAGAAAAAATACAGGCGTCTACATGCAACAGAATTGCACATTTGTAAGTAATCAACATGTCAATACAAGTAATGTCAGATACGGAGAGGGCAGTAAGAGTAAGTGAAACATACTATGTAGGCTGACATTAATGTGGTCAAAGAAAATAAAATAAAGTAACAAGCTAAACTATGGTTAGTTGTGTAGCTTAGTAGCCACTGGGTATTATTCTCTGTGTCTAAACGTGTTTAATGAACCGGTTATAAGATACTGGTAAACTAGCATGCTCATCCTGAGCGAAGATATATCTACATCTGCAAGATAAATATTCGTAGCAGTCAGCCGATGCCCACCCTAGAGGCCTGAGCTGGCAGCCCAGAGTGAAGGTGCATCTTTAGTAGAGTGCTGTTGTGCAGTGGGTCAGCATGTTGGCACAGAAAGGCAAATCTCTGCGGATTTTCTTACAGGACTAGGGCTTCAGAGCATGTAATTTCTTCCAGTGTGGGAAGCAGTAAAAGGTCCTCCGTCTGTGTCGTGCATGCAGTCTTCGATGGCGGTGTCTGACTGCCTCCGCCCGTGGGGACATTGTGCTGGAGCCGAACCCCCAGTGGTTCTCTGCCCAAGCGGACGTATGCGTTTAGTTTCTGCAAAGATGGAGACCACCTTGCCCAGCTGGGGTCTCTTTCGCTCCCCTGCGGGTTGCTTCCAGACCTCCCGTGTTGACAGAGTGGCTGGTGCCACCATTCTGGAGCATGCCTCCAGTTTCGCCCTGAAGAGTTCGAAGATAGCATCCAGTGTAGCCATTTATTTCAGAGGTGAGTGTGCCAATTGTAGTTCGCCCTGCAAAGCTAGACCATGTGAGTAGACCATTTTGCGTAGTCAGGCCTCAGATCAGGGGTGTAGCAGGTCTCCCAAGTTTGCTTTGTAGGAGCTAGGTATGCAACCCCAGCGGCGACCGGGTAACCCCCACCGGCCCATAGGGGGGAGGGGGAAATGTGGCCCAGACCGTGGTGGTATTGAGGATAAGGCGGGAGACAGCAGCGTCTCTCGCCCCAGATCAGATAACAGGCCGCAATGAGCTTCGGGCCCCACAAAACACTGAGCAGAGCTAGATAAGTCAGTCCAGGAGGTTGTCAATGCTGTCTCCACATATCGAGAGCCAATTTCAGCTGCTTAAGTTTGATATTTCTCGGTTTAGGAGCCAATATCACATAATAATCTGAGGAGCTCCCTCAGCCTGCGTCCTGCTCGCTTGGTTGTCAGGCCCCGCCCCCAAGGTCTGTGTATATTTTTAAGTAGTCGTCACGTTTTTATAGTTTTAAGCATGTCAAAGTTGTTTATAGTGCAACCTTTTATAGGTTTAAATTCTTTTGTCAGTCATCCTTTTTTTTCTAATTCTTTGTTTGGTTTATGACCACTATCAGTTATAACAATCGAGATGATGATGTGCCAAATGTGTATTTTTGCAGAACCTTTAAAGGTGCATGTAGTTTTACTTTTTAAACTTTTTTTTTTGTATATCAAATGTGTATAGATTAAAATAAATTTTAATCTACCTACCTCAACAAATACACCTACCGTGCCCAATGAAATCTAAAATGGCCCAGATGAACATTTACACACAAACATCTTAGGCAGAAACGCAATTCATAGTGAAACCAAGTTTCTCCCTATTTCCAATCACCAATAGCGTAACAGTGGTTACCTATTACATCAACCCACCTCCTTCAATCACTACGGACCACCCATGCCCTTCTGAAGAACAACTAAAAATAACGAGAAAAAATGTCTGATTTGACCATATGAAAATATTTAATCATATTTACAGTAATTGTTTTTTTGGTTTTCAATCAGTAACACCCAAGTATATTTTAAGTTGGCAGGGCAAATAATTCTTACAGTTAATTAATACATATTTTTATAGGTAAACACAGGCACCAAAACCACTGTCAATGTCTGTACCTGCGCAAGTAAAGGATTTCTATTGGTCTGGTGCTGTACCTATTAATGCTGTACAAAACAGAAAAAGTGTGCAGCGCATGAACCAAACCCACAAATCTTATAGGAGTATAAGCACAATCAGTGCATAAAAATACAAAGAGAGATAAATACCCCAGTATTTTAAGATCTTTAAGGGTCATACGTTTTGGTCAGATCCCATATAGAAACTGGTTCAAGTAGTATCACTTTAAAAATGTCTCAGGTCAAATCTTGAAGTTACTCCCAGGGATGTAGCTTGATCCTCAGAATATGGAAATGGTTGGACAAGCAAACATCAAATTAAAAGAGTATAAAAAGCACATTTATTATAAGTAAATAAAAACCTTACATTGAGGTCTTGTAAAATCAGCAAAGAAATGACAGCATAAATAGCAGCACAACGCGTTTCAACGATCAATCTCGTCTTCCTCAGGTGCAGTTCACATTGTTACATAAAATTCATACATTTAAAAGCCTTTTGGTGCGGAAAATCGGGTATTTAGGACCCGCCCCCTTTGCCATCGAACCAATCAGCAAAGACTAAATGGTTTCCTCTTCACAGTCTGTGATTTCCGGATCTATGCGTTCCATTCCTTTTACTTCCGGTATCGCATGCGTTCCAATATGCGTTTCACAGGGGGCACTTCCGGTTTCGCTTGCGGTCCGGTTTACCCAGCGAAAAAATTCTATATCAAGTTCATATGGCTACTAAACCTCAAGTCCACATAAAAATAATGTACATGTGTACATAGGTGCTCATATATATGTGTACAAGACATGTACATAGAAAAACAGGGAAATAAAATAGAAAGCCAAAAGTTAATAATAGCCACAAATAACTCATTATATCTATATATACAGATACATAATAAAAGAGTGAGGTGGAATCAATAAGAATGTGTTCACCAGGTGTGTAGAGAATTAGATATAATTGTACATTTCAAAATCAATGTTTAAACCACATGGAGAGAGGGTTTCCAGCTCAAAGATCCATTTCATTTCTGTTCTATTCAGGATCTTGAGGTGGTCCCCCCCTCTCCATGGTTTTTGAACCTTTTGGATTCCCAGGAAATGTAAACATTTGGTGTCCCCATTATGTTTTTGATAAACATGTGCTGATACTGAATGATTAAAAACTCCCTTTTGTACATTCCTAAGATGTTCACAGATCCTGACTTTTAGGGGTCTAGTGGTACGCCCTATGTACTGCAGTCCACAGATACATGTTAATAAATAAATAACATTGTTTGAATTACATGTTATAAAATCTTTAACTGTATATTCTTTTTGTGTTTTACTTGAAATAAATTTCTCAGTTTTTTTATTTATGATTTTACTCATACTACACGCCCTACAGTTCCCACAGTTAAAAAACCCTTGTAATTTTTTTCCTTGTAAATCATTATCTTTAAGGGGTCTTTTGGGAATATAACTCCTAGTCAATATATCTTTAAAATTATTGGCGCCTCTATAAGTTATTTTCGGCTTTTCTCCTATAAATTCACTAAGATCTTCATTTTGTTTAAGAATATGCCAATGTTTTTTTAAAACTTTATGAAAAATATGACTCTGTGAGTTATAGTCACAAATAAAAGACACTTGTTTCGTTTGTGTGCATTCTTTTCTCTTTTTATACATTAATAAATCTTTTCTGGGCTTAGTTAAAACTTCCTCCAATTGTGCCTCTACATCAACTTTTTTGTAACCTTTCTGATAAAATTGTTCTTTTAACATATCAGTTTGTTCTAAAAATGTTTTTTCTTCCGTGCAGTTCCTTTTTATTCTCATAAATTGGCTTTTAGGGATGTTTGAAAGCCAAGATTTAAAGTGACAACTCTCACTGTTGATGTAACTATTGACATCAACAGTTTTAAAAAAAGTACTAGTCTTAACAACTCCATTGTCAATAAAAATCTTTAAATCTAGGAAGTGTACTTCTTGATTACTTATTTCCGAGGTAAGCTTAATACCCCAAGAATTAGAGTTTAGAAAAATTAAAAAGTTATCCAGTGATGTCTTACTTCCCTTCCATATTAAAAAGATATCGTCTATGTACCGCCTATAGAGGACCAAGTTCGCCACCCAGTCATGTTCAGCATATATGTAGGATTCTTCCCAAAATGCCATGAAAAGATTAGCATAACTGGGCGCGAACTTGGTCCCCATGGCGGTACCTCTCTTCTGAATATAAAAGTCCCCCTCAAACCAAAAGAAGTTGTTTTGTAGGATAATTTCAATGCCCTCAATAATAAATTCAATCTGTTCTCCTTTGAATGCATTTGATGTTTTCAGGAAATATGTGCTTTTTATACTCTTTTAATTTGATGTTTGCTTGTCCAACCATTTCCATATTCTGAGGATCAAGCTACATCCCTGGGAGTAACTTCAAGATTTGACCTGAGACATTTTTAAAGTGATACTACTTGAACCAGTTTCTATATGGGATCTGACCAAAACGTATGACCCTTAAAGATCTTAAAATACTGGGGTATTTATCTCTCTTTGTATTTTTATGCACTGATTGTGCTTATACTCCTATAAGATTTGTGGGTTTGGTTCATGCGCTGCACACTTTTTCTGTTTTGTACACTGTTGTTTTTGTGGGATTATTGTGATTGTACCCACTAGTGTGTTCTAGCTGCTATTCATTTTAGCGCCATAAATTGTATTTTTTCTGTTTTATTGTTGTACTTTCAATCACTAGTACAATTTGGGCTGCTTGTTCCCTCATACCCCCCTCCAAATTATGAATATATTTGAAAGGAGAGATGGGTGGATGGAGAATATTAACAAAAAATTTAATCAAATTTTGTCCGATGACCAATTCACAGTTAATGAAACTGACAATCTAGACACTCTGTGCGAAGAATTAGAGAAACTATTAAGCAGAGAGTTAAGAATAAAATGGGAAGTCTTTACTATGGAAAAATACCTCAAGGAGGAGATTACACCCAGAGGTCTTAGATTCCATAAAACTCCTACATTTGACAGAGATGATAGTAGATTCATGGGCATTTGGAATAATGCCCTTGAATCCTTTTCAATCACTATGATTAGAATTATAATCGATCAAAGAACAATAACCCTTAAAAAATTGGATACAGCTATTAAGAGTATAAAGGATAAGTTAGAACCACTTTCTAATACTAAGGATTTTGAAGATATATCTATCCAAATGAATAAAAATTTGGATAAAATTGAAAAAGACACCCTACAAATTAAACAAAAGAAGTATATACGTGATTTAGATGATTACAAAAGAGGTAATGTTAGAAAAGCATCAAATCAATCAAAAAAAGATGTTCATAGACCTGATAGACAAAGGAATTTTACAACTAGAAATAATCAAGAGCCTCCTAATCAGTGGATTAATAGAGATGCCCCGAGACAATATCATACAAAGCCCTATAAATATAGGGAAGAGACAAATAAAAATCAATGGATAGAGGTTAAGAGAGGGAGGAGAAATTCCAATCAGACACCTAGACACTATAGAAACCCCAGAACACCAAACACATATGTGCCACAATCTAGATCAAACTTCCCTAAAAACACACTAACAGAGAGATCATACATCCAGAAGAATAGATATGAACCACTTAGAAATAACGATGAAAGAGTTTTTTTAGGAACCCCCAACACTCACACTACATTTGTAAAAACTCAACATTCCCCTTTAAAAAGGCGACGTATGGAAGAGGAACCAGAGGAGGAAAGAGAAAGAAGAAGATTGAGAGATTAGTAACTATTGACGATAATCCTAAAGAAATGGAATCTATAAAAATATTTAATTTGTCGAATAAATGCCTAAATAAGGATCACATAAAAGTACTTACAAAAGGATTTAAATTCGCACCTAGCTGTAATATCAACAAATTCGATACATTTATGGATTTCAATCGATATATGAGGAAACTTTGCCTTAAAAAATTTTTTCAGAAAAAAGAGAGGAAGGAGATAAAACCAGAAGAAGTAGCTGAATTTAATCATACCACTTTAAAACCGACCTCGTCATTTTTCCCATACCAGCTTAAAACATCGAGTATGAAGGCATTCGAACAAGCGTGCATTAATGATCTAAAAAAAATCAAACCACTTTCCAAATTTGAATTTAACCTCACATGGGGAGAGAAAAAAGCCCTTGAAGATCTTAGTAAGGATGATAGTATCATCATTAAACCCGCAGATAAGGGGGGAGGGGTTGTTATTATGAACCAGGCATTCTATGTGGAAGAAATCTTTAGACAGTTGAAGGACGAAGAAACATATGGAATGCTCAAGAATAATCCAGAACAGAATATTAAGAAGAAATTAGTCAAATTTTTGGATCAAGGTTTACAGCAGGGAATTTTGACTAGAGATGAATATGGGTTTCTTAATAAAGAACATACCATTATCCCTGTGATCTATGTTCTCCCCAAAATCCACAAGGATCCTGTACAACCTCCAGGGAGACCAATTGTGGCAGGGGTTGACTCTTTGTTATCACCCCTGTCACAATATATTGATATTCTCTTACAACCCCTTGTTATTAAAACTAGAGCTTATTTGAAAGATTCCATTAATCTCCTTCAGACTTTACAAAAAATAGACTGGAAAGAAGATTACTTTCTCGTTACTAGCGATGTCAGTAGCCTTTACACAGTCATTGAACATCAAAAAGGATGTAAGGCGGTGGAATATTTCCTGAAAACATCAAATGCATTCAAAGGAGAACAGATTGAATTTATTATTGAGGGCATTGAAATTATCCTACAAAACAACTTCTTTTGGTTTGAGGGGGACTTTTATATTCAGAAGAGAGGTACCGCCATGGGGACCAAGTTCGCGCCCAGTTATGCTAATCTTTTCATGGCATTTTGGGAAGAATCCTACATATATGCTGAACATGACTGGGTGGCGAACTTGGTCCTCTATAGGCGGTACATAGACGATATCTTTTTAATATGGAAGGGAAGTAAGACATCACTGGATAACTTTTTAATTTTTCTAAACTCTAATTCTTGGGGTATTAAGCTTACCTCGGAAATAAGTAATCAAGAAGTACACTTCCTAGATTTAAAGATTTTTATTGACAATGGAGTTGTTAAGACTAGTACTTTTTTTTAAACTGTTGATGTCAATAGTTACATCAACAGTGAGAGTTGTCACTTTAAATCTTGGCTTTCAAACATCCCTAAAAGCCAATTTATGAGAATAAAAAGGAACTGCACGGAAGAAAAAACATTTTTAGAACAAACTGATATGTTAAAAGAACAATTTTATCAGAAAGGTTACAAAAAAGTTGATGTAGAGGCACAATTGGAGGAAGTTTTAACCAAGCCCAGAAAAGATTTATTAATGTATAAAAAGAGAAAAGAATGCACACAAACGAAACAAGTGTCTTTTATTTGTGACTATAACTCACAGAGTCATATTTTTCATAAAGTTTTAAAAAAACATTGGCATATTCTTAAACAAAATGAAGATCTTAGTGAATTTATAGGAGAAAAGTCGAAAATAACTTATAGAGGCGCCAATAATTTTAAAGATATATTGAAGTACAAAAAAATATTTAATAACTTACATCAAGCTATAAAATCATCAGTGTAGTCCTCTATATCACCACCACCTGGTGGTGATATAGAGGACTACACTGATGATTTTATATCTTGATGTAAGTTATGTAAGGTGGTGGTGATATAGAGGACTACACTGATGATTTTATATCTTGATGTAAGTTATGTAAGGTGGTGGTGATATAGAGGACTACACTGATGATTTTATATCTTGATGTAAGTTATGTAAGGTGGTGGTGACATAGAGGGACTACACTGATGATTTTATATCTTGATGTAAGTTATGTAAGGTGGTGGTGACATAGAGGGACTACACTGATGATTTTATATCTTGATGTAAGTTATGTAAGGTGGTGGTGATATAGAGGACTACACTGATGATTTTATAGCTTGATGTAAGTTATTAAATACTTTTTTGTACTTCACTCTGAATGTGCATCTTATATTCTTTTATATACATTTCTTTCCTGAGCACATACATGCCAATATACCTATGGAGATTTTAACACAGACAGAGGATTTGGAATTCCTATTTTGAAAAGGAAAATATTCAAGGCTTGCAAACTTCAGCAAAAGTGTGAGTGGCCATTTGTGAATATAACTTCTACAATTTGTCATCATACACAGTTATACGCTATGTTGTTTTATTTATGATTGGTTCAGCAGATCATCCCCTTTTTTGCTTGTGTTGTGTGGAAGACAAGAGGAAGTCTTTTGGGATACTATTGGAAATCTTATCCTATACAGGAAAGTTCCTTTCTGTTGATATAAATTAAGCACTTATTACACTGTGGTGGGTGTTCACACACATTGTTTCTTACTGTGACTCACACAGCCCGCATAAAAACAAAATGGTTTCTTTTTCAATCAGATGTTAACACACTACAGAAGTTTTTATCTCCTGCTCTGCAAATGTAATATTTAATTACACACAGCAGGCTCCTGCAAGATCTAGCAGACTACTAAAACAGCAGGAGATAAGACATTCTAAATTAAACAGAATGTGCAATAAAGGTAGTTTAAACATTATATCTCACTTTACAGGAAGTGTTTAGGAAGGTTGTGTAAGTCACATGCAAAGAGGTGTGACTAAGGCTGCATAAACAAAATGATTTAACTTCCTGTAATGTGAGATCTAATGTTTAAACTACCTTTATTGCACATTCTGTTTAACCCCTTAAGGACCAAACTTCTGGAATAAAAGGGAATCATGACATGTCACGTGTCCTTAAGGGGTTAATTTATAATTTCTTATCTCTTGCTCTGTTATTAGCTTGCTAGACCTTGCAGAGCCTCCTGTGTATTTATAGTTCAATTTACAAAGCAAGATGTAAAAACTTCAGAAGTTACATGTGATTAAAAATGAAACCAGTCAGGTGAGGTGTGGCTAGGGCTTCACGGACAGAAACAAAAGTGATTTAACTCGTAAATGCCAGAGAATTGAGCAGTGAGACTGCAGGGGTATGATCTTTGCACAAAAACTGCTTCATTAAGCTAAAGTTGTTTTGGTGACGATAGTGTCTCTTTAAATTCTTCCTAAAACATATTTTATGTCAACTAAGGACTACAGCTAATTAGATGTTGGTAAAAGTGCTTTCAAACCAGTGTTTAACAAATAATGTGCCATGACTATAGCACTGCAGAAAGTGCTTTATTCTGTGAGTCCAAAGTGAAGGCAGACAGCGAAAGTACAATCTTAATTAAAGAATTAGATAGAAGATCATGAAATGGAACATGTGAAAAAAAATGCACAACTAAATATAAAAAATATAAGACCAAAACATACATACAAAACTAAAATGGGAGTTATTTTAAAATACATACACTCATTTGCACTTTCAGGAGGATGTCTTTAAAGAGTTTATTTTTATTATGGCAGAAAATATATGCAAAACTATTATAATCACATTAAATTGGAGTATAGACTTCGTTGTGTATTTACGTTTTGGTTTTAGCAATGATAGTTTTATATTTGTAATTCATACTGTTAAGTAACCAGGCCTTAACGCCGCATGCGGCCACTCGCATTGAAGGTGATATTGGATGGGTGTCTATTTATGTGTGATTAAGCATCTTGTTAATTAAGATTGTGTTTTAGTGTATAGATATTCATGCATAAATGAAATGTGGGTGAGAATGTGGTGCTGGTTAGTGTGTGACAGAGTATAGCTAGTTAGGTATGTGCATGTGAGTGTAGCTGGTAATGTGAGAAGTATGACTACGTAAGTGATTGTGATAGTCCGAGAATATGGTTAATTAAGTGTGAGTGTAGCTGGTAACATCAAAAGTATGACTAGGTAAGTGATTGTGATAGTCTGAGAATATGGTTAATTGTGTGAGTGCGAATTGGAGGAGGGCTCACAAGATTCACGTATTTTTTTTTACATGCTTCACTATTTCTTAATGCAAAGTGAGCACATTAAGCGGTAGTTGTGTGTCCCTGCTGTCATCGGGCTCTATTCCAACAAGTTAGACACTTTTTATTCTTCTATAAGCACCTCCACTGGAATCATCAAACTTTGTGGCATTATAGTTTCAGCTAAAATGTAGTTTCATTGCGAATACGGCTATCGACCTTACTGATAAATACTTGCTAAGACAAGCGGTGGAGGGATAATCGATATTTCCTGGTGTGGATTAATTACTGCAACAGTATCAGTATTGCTCATTTGATAAATTTAAATCAGCATTTTAAGGTGCATCCTCTGAAACTCCTGCTTCAAGTAAGTTATATATTGTGGCGAAACCAGCCTCGCCACTGTCCACTGGAGGAGCCTGGTTGCTCGCCTGCTCCCTTAAGACTATGGCCCGGCAGTTAAAACCTTTTATTTTCCCTGCAAAGCGTATTCATGCCTTTCTGTAGACTGTTAAAGCCATGCTACCCCAGATAGCTATGCCATGGAGCCCAGCCGTATACTGAAAGACTGTATGAAAGACTTTGGCTCCATGGTGATTGAACTGTATTTATGTGATCTGAGCGCCATTCGGTAGTAATGTGCACTCAGATCTAAGCTATCTGGGGATATGTAGAATGTCTATGTTTTATGGAATAAATGTAACTGTATGTCATTTTATGTCTTTTATTGTATTGTTACTGCCATGTGGTTAATGGAGTCTTGCCTCTGTCCTGGGAGATAATTGGATTACTTCCCAATTATCTCCTGGACAGAGAGGAGGGATTGTGATGTAAATGTGGGTGTGTTTTACGGTTCCCCTTTAACGATTGGTTGTACTGTGTCCCACCCTGTGGGATGTCTCCTTGCATGGGGACTTGCATAAAAGCCAGTGTGTGGCCATTACAGAGAGTTCCTGTTTTAACCCTCAAAGTGAAGTGTCGTCTCATTATTGGGGGAAGGATTTATTGTATGCTGTTCCAGTTTGATTGCCAGGAGTGTAAACCTATTCGTATGGTTCCTATTCAACTGTCTACAGCATTCATATGCTTGAGAGGATTCATATGCTTTTCCAGTTTGTGAGATTGGGGAATTCAAGTGTGTGCAGTTCGGGAGTTGGTGAATTCGTGGGTTTGCAGTTCAGGAGATTGGTACTTGCAGTAGCTGTCGGTGCAGCTGAAAAAGGGGAATATCGCCAGACGGTTTTTAACCTCTTTTGGGCAAAACAGTCCGTTACATATATTTAATTCTAGTTTTTGCACTTAAAGGTTCTTTTTTCCATTTTAGCCATGTATTCTTTTTCAAATTAATTTTTCCCCTGTCTATTGTTAAAGTCTTTCCATCCAAAGTTGAGAAACATTTATTCGGAAATTGTGCAATAAATACAAAAACATCAAACAACTTGACATTCACCGTTTTATTTTTTGAACCTCTTGCTCAAACTAGGTTTCACTCACTCAGTGAATTTTTTTGACAATTAATTACAGAACTGTAACTCGCAGCAAGAAAAGGCTATCCTAGGTGAGATTTGTTTCATAATATTAGCCAGTGAGAAGTAATCTGAGCAATATTACCTTACTTAATAATGTAAGAACCGATGGGAATTAAAAATTAATTTCAAATTTGAGGCCAAAATAGCTGAATCGGAAGTTTTTTCCAGTCTGTCTAGTTAAGCCTTAAACTTGAAATACACGTTAGTGCATAACCCTATGTTTAATATATTGTTTAAATATACCACTACCGAAGCGCGCTGAAATTATTAAACAAAGAAACAGACAAGGCACCTGAATTCACAAACATACATATATACACATACAAATATATATCGCCTGTGAAGGACACTTCAGGAAACAATTTAAAAGAAAGAATGAGAAAAATAAAAAAAAACATTTTTTTGGGTGAGGCAACAAGCATTCCTAATTCCAGAGTCGGACCCAGCCATTCATATACACAAAGAATGCAGCATGGAGAGGTTTTGTGAAGGTGGCAGTGAAGGTGTGTAAGTGCTGAATTGGGTCACATAGCTGATAAAATGACAGGCGACCGGCTTCATAATCCAAGTATATTCCATATCTGTGGACAAATGGGTCCAGATAAACATAGCTTTGTTTCTGGTTGTGTTTTACCGAAGAAAAGCTATCCCATTTCCATAAACACCAGGACTTATTATCTGATCCAATTAAATCGTGGACCCCTCTCATTTTCCCGGTGGAATAGCTGACCCCTATTCTCCAGTTTCCTGATTTACTTGTCTCAACTTCCCAGTAATGTTGTCCGGATGAAAAGCTTCTGTTACTTAAAGCTTGACATATCACATACTGGTCGGATGTGTCTTGGCTCTGCCAATGTCTACTGCAGCCAGTGAGTATTTTCAGATCATCGGAAACAATAACGTCAGTAGGAGAGGAGTTAACATCGAGTAATATGTCAGATTCCTTCTGTATGGAGAACCCTCTCTTTGCCTTCAAAACAGGAAGAAGATTCACTAAGTTGTGGAGACTCCTCTCAAAGGCAATGGATATCAAAGTCTCGTCTAGACCTTTTACTTCCTGGGATGTTTCATCACTCATCCAGTTAGAATTATTTTCTACCATTTTAGAGCCAAAGTGGTTTGCACTTTCCTGGTCTTTCACTTGCAAGACATTTAATAGGCCATCTATGTTGCACAGATGTTCAAAGTGACAGATCTCATCAGTCAGTACCATGCTCTTCATCTTCAGCTGCTGGACCATATCAGAGACTTGGCTGAAGACCTCATCTTTCTGCTTTGATATTTCATCCAGTACCCTCTTTTCTAGATCTTCTAATTGTTCCTTTATGTCACTGATTATGGCAGAAACTTGCTTTCCCAGAAAGGCTGCTTTACTTTGTACATCTTGCATGTGGTTCTCTAGTCTCTGGACTCGTTGATCCATCTGGACTTTCTCTGAGGTCAGTTTGTCCTGATCAACTCTCCATTTGTCTTTCTTTTTCTCAGCAGCTTTACATAGTAATTCCACTTGATGACCCCCGTGTTCTTCAGCCAAGCAGCAGAACATACAGACACAAACTGCATCATTGAAACAGTAATACTCTAAGATCTTCCCATGGACAGAGCATTTTCTGTTCTGTTGTGATTCCGTAGCTTTAATTAAGAGGTGCTCTGCTAACTTGTTGTGCACAGTCAGGTGAGCCTCACAAAGGGAAGCGTCACAGTTCAGACATATCTTAACAGAAGGTGTGAGGACATCACAGAAATCACAGAAACTCACAGAATGCTCATGTTTTAATTGTGTAGAAATGAAAAGCTCTACTACGTTACACAGTTTTATGTTCCTCTGCAGAGCAGGACGCTCGCAATACTTTGCTCTGCAATCAGGACATGTATAATTTCCATGTTCCTTCTGCGAATCCAGTGCTTTGTCAATGCAGACTCGACAGAAATTATGCCCGCAGCTGAGCATCACGGGATCAGTGTAAAAATTCAGGCAGATGGAGCATTTTAACTCATCCCTTAGATCAGTAATCATCCTAGAAAAAAATAATAAGAATACAGTTGATATGGACAAAGCAGTGTGACGGACAGCCTTGTTTTCTCTTCCCAGTAGAATTTTGTTATGTCCATCGACTGTTTAAAAACCCTTTCCCCCCCCTCTCTCAACCACCATAACTGTCATGCTTTAACCCCCCAAAAAAGATACAGAATTCTGAGTATCCCTCCATAATTCAGTCTAAAGAGAGACTCCTTTCTGGTGATATATGTATTAATTGCACATCTTGGCACTGAAAATGTTCCATGATGCTTAGTGGTGCATCACCGTAATTGTAGTTTGTAAACATCTGCAGTGGTAATGTCAGCACTATCTAGGGAAAATAAATAACTCCCTCTATTTTTACAGCTCCCTTGTGTCATGTCTTCTTAACTACATGATAAGGTTTCCTGGTGACAGCGATTATTGTAATTTTCAGAAAATATGGGACCTTGATAATTCAGATATAACACCAGCAAAAGTTAGCTTGTACACGTTTCTGTTGCGTGCTAAGAGATTTTTTTTTCATAAACATAAACCCTTTCTCCCCTTCCCCCCACCACAAAATAGATGATTGCAGTGATCTGAAAACTACATTTTGGACAAAATTGCAAAAGTGGAAAAATGTCTGGATAAAGCTTCCAGAGCAGCTAATTTTGTTCTACAGTATGCAATTATTTTCTTAAATTACTGCAATCCAGAGTTTAGAAAATAAACCCCTTTATTGGACACAAAAAGCATTTCTGGGGCAAAGTTCTATAAGTGGGGCATGTCTAAGAATTTCCCAAGCAGCGCTTAGCTAATTGGCTGAGAGTGTCGTCTAATTGCATAAAACCATAGTAAAAAAATGCAAAAAAGCAGCAATCTAACCATGCCTTGCTTTCCAGTTAGCTTTGCCTAAAATTTGCAAACCCCTTGCCAATTCTGACAAAATCCCAGTTTAGTGGATGTGCCCAACCAATTACATTTAGCTGCCTGACAGTGCCACTCTAATTATTCTGGACTACCTCTCCCATTAAAGCCAGCCAGACATATAAGACACTTCTGACATGGAATATAAACTCCTGGGGGCTGGATTAGCATCATGGGACCTGTGACCAAATTCATGTTCACATTTTGTTTTAGCTCCTGCAGACAATGCCTGCCACATCCCTCCCTCTATTTGTCTGCTTTGTGATTCTGGGTAAGTGAAGGGGTCAACAATGGATTTCAGAGGGGCATTCCCCAAAACTGCCCCTGTTTATGGCACACCCCTGCACCCCACTTCATGTTCCCTTGCACACAGCCCTTCAGATTCCCCACATCACCCTGCCCCCTTACCCCCAGCATTCTCTGCCACCCTGGAGCCCAGAGCCCATGCTGTCAGACTGCCACTACTGCAGGTGGAGTACACAGACAGCTACAGAAAGTGGTCTCTACTTCCGGGTAAGTCATGTGACAGCTGAAGTTAGGGTGGGCGGGGCTAGCATAAAGTGCTAAGTGTAACCCATTCAGTGCTAAGGCCAAACATAATACTTTGGGGTTTATTCTCTAAACCAGGGGATTGGCCAGGGCATTGGAAATTTTTTGTAAAAATAACACATACAAAATAAAAATAAACTGGCTAGTTTGGCTTGAATGTTACCTGTCTTGTTTTTAATTCTACAAATTGCCCTGTTTAAAAAAACCTTTTATTTGAAATCTATTATACACATAAACGTGCAACTGATTGCATTAGGGTGTGAACGAATCTTCTAAAGGAGAGGACTCCGGTGAGCATCATAAGAATGTGCCCGTGGCTCGAGCAGTACCCTACGCGGCACGAGGCCGGGGTCCTGCTCAAAGGGTTTTCCGTTGGATTTTGGACCCATTTGTGGCGTCGGAGGTAACTATGTTTGCTGAAAATCTTCGTTAATTAAGGGGTAAGGAGGTCCCCCTCCAAGCCAAGATAGATGCGGAGGTCCGCTTAGGTAGAATGGCGGGTCCGTTCGAGTTTCTGCCTTTCCATAACCTGCGGGTCTCGCCCTTGGAATTGTTACCAAAGAAGGAAGCTGGTGCTTTTCAATTGATTCACCACTTTTCCTACCTGGCGGGTGGATCGGTCAATGATGACATCGACAGGGAGGCATGCCGGGTGCACTACGCTTCGTTTGATAGAGCTTTGTTGCGAGAGGCTGGGCCGGGGGCGCTCATGGCTAAACCGGACATTGAAGCCGCGTTCTGTTTATTACCGGTGCACCCTGACTGTTTCCACCTATTGGGTTGCCAATAACAGGGGCTGTTTTACTATGATATGTGCCTCCCATTGGTTTGCACCATTTCTTGTTTTTACTTTGAAATGTACGCAACCTCTTTAGAATGGGTAACAGCTCTTGTGGCAGGATGGGGATCCCTTACTCATTATTTAGGCGATTTTCTATTCGTCCATCTTGCTTCGTCACAGGTTTGTAATGAGCTGCTTTGGACTTTTTGGCGTTGGTTGGATCAGCAGTCATGCCTCCCCCAGCAGCGATGTCATAGTCAGAAATTTTTGCGGTCTGCAAAGTCCCCAGATGGTGACAGTGCCACTTTTAAGGGGGGCTTTGACTTCCCAGGCTTTCTAATATGATGTTTACTTAACAAACTATTTAAAAAATATGTATTTGTGAGCCTTTAAGATTAACATTAAATGTAGAAATCCACACCTCTTTATCTTGCAACGGTGCGCCTCCATTTTAACTCCCCGTCAGTAATTGTTATAAGTTCTGTCCTTTGCACCTGGCAGTCGGCATAGAGAGCGTATACAGAGAAGAGGACACACAAAATAGGGAAGATTTATAAAATTTATAAAACATTCCGTAACAGTATCTTAGCTCCCAACATTTCGAGGTACGTAATCAGGACAGGGTTGAGTCTAAAGGGGTGTGCTAGTGATGCTACTTGCATTACTGACTACTAATGTCCAAAATGGATAGCCCTTCCCAGAAAGCGTGTGTGATAACACGCCAGGCTGATAGCCACATTATCAGGGCAGACAAGGTAGAGAGCTCTGCTACTGCGCACTTTGAGTTGTTATAGTGTCCTCAGCTTGTGCTTTTGCTGTGCGTGTTGAGCAGAGTTTCCTGTGTCCCCTTTTTAGGGAACCAACCCGGGGCAGCAGAACAGGACCCCGAAATCATGATGGTCCCACCAAACCCAGGATATGTAGTAGCGTGTTAGCAGTGAGTGCTGGGTCCTATTTAGTCAATAGTATTCAGCCAGGTATGTAACTCACAAACCTCTAATCTATTAATACTATAACTGCATTTAAAATGTTACTGCCAAAAAGTCATAATTTTAAGGCAAACAAAATTCCAATGTTTGGTAATTATTTAAACAATTTAAAAATGAAAAGAAATGTCCAAATGTATTTGTGTATTCTGCTTTGTAGGTGACCAGTGTTTATTGGATAATATTGTGTTACAATCAAATTTAAATATATATAAAACATAACATATTAAAAAAAAATGATATAAATATTTAAGCTAGCATTCAATATAAATCTAGGTACAAGGCTAATAAAATCCCATTGTGCGATAACCTGAGTTGAATTCAGCCTTGAACGCAGAAGATAAGAAAAGAAAGAATATAAAGTAATTTCAGGAGGCTATTTATGTTACAGCTTCTCTTGCGGTGTCATAGGACAATGCACTGGCTGAGGATGATGGGAGTCAGAGTCACAGTTCTCCACTGCCCCCATGGATAAAGTAATAGGAACAGTAGGTTTTATAAAGTCTTG